ACTACTACTACTACTACTACTACTACTACTACTACTACTACTACTACTACTACTAATAATAATAATAATAATAATAATAACAACATTAAGCTCATTCTTGCCTTCCTTGTTTCCTTTCATTATGTTAGGTTCAGGTTTTATGGACTGGCTGAACAACGTTATGTTTGGATATTTTGTCCTAAATTGTCATACTCGGGATGTTTTCCCACAGTCCCACCGTCAAGGTTACTCATACAATAACTGGACCTCAAGCCAATCTCCTTCCTGTCTCCGTTATTGCAGCTACTCAGTTTGACTGCACGGGTTAGAGTGGCATGATACAACAGCTGTTGTCTTCTTTCCCAACATAGTATTCTTATATTGTTTCTTCTGCTTCCCAACGTCTAATAACTGCAACTTTAAATTTACTCAAAGTAGAATGGTGACTGAAAATATAAACATCTTGTGCAGCTTGCCGTTGTTGCAAAACAGCATATACGATTTTATTTTGGGAGATCGCAGGCATTTATTTCCCAAAATAAAGCACTTGGGATTTTAAGGATTATGTAGCCATATAAAAGCAGTTTTTGCAAAGCATCAGAATACTGAGCAGCAATTTAACAGGTGGTGCACTACATCAACATCAAGAACTCCCAGTTGTCCCACAATGCGATTGGTCACTTGCAATGTTGAATCTGGAGCAACCTTAATTATGATGATGTGGGAACAAAACCAACACGAGGATATCAGATCGTGCACATCTTGCGGTCACGTGCACTTCACTACAGCACAAACACGGGAAAACGACCATTCCAAAACGAATGACATTTAGAAGACTCCATTATATTACATTTCTTTGCTCTCAATGTTATGATTGTCAATAAACGCTTTTTGTATAAAATAGTGCAATTTATGCCTTCAGCATCCGTGTGTAGAAGTTGTTAAACGGTTTGTTTGTTGTTTAAAGATTAAATAATAGTTGTTGTTTAAAAAAAAAAAGCTAAAAAAGAGACACACAGTGACCGACATAGAGGGATCATGTTTTAAGCGTACAATCTGTTTGTTTACTATCCGTTTTTTCATCAAGAAAAAAAAACAAAACAAACGAAAACACAAAAATCTAGATGCTGCAATAAAGCTGTGACTATTTGGAGGAGCGTTAATATGTGTGCATAATGTCTTGACGTTTGTTTCTCGCGTGCGCTAAAAGACGCGGGCCAAACAGCAAGTTGGCGAATGAAAACCTCAGGCCTGGCTGGCTGAATTTCCTTAACATCAGCAGCGCAAACAACCCTTGTATTATGTTGAAAAGAAACTTCCTCAGTACGAGAACTGAAGAAGCTTCTCGGATGAGAGGTGAAACGTCTTCAAGCAACTTAAAGAAGTCCAGATGCTTTTCTTTCCAAGCTCCTTAGACCATGCACCTACTACTGCTGCAAGTCAGTCTGATCCAGTGGCTTCCATTTCTCTTGAAATGCACGCCTCCCCTCCACGTTAGTCATGTCCAGTATAATCCTCTCTATTGGAGGGGATATGAAGAGCTGAAATGTTGATTGAATATCATCAACTCGTATGGCGGCAAATCTTGTAGGACCAGGAGTCATTTTGATGACGTTAGAAGATGACAGCCTGCCTTGACTTGGTGTGGTGATAATGACCATTTTATATTACCATCATCTTTAGATTTCCATGTATCCTCTGTGGATGATAGTTGCTGCATTCCTTGGTTTTCATTTGATGTAGAGATGGCAGCATACTCAGCCTCAGAATCCTCCTGTCCTTTGGAAAATTGGCAGTCTGGATCATCAGCAACAGTGTCCTCAGCCTCTGAAAGATCTTCTGTCTCTGAAACATTTTTTCTTCATCACTATCCCAGTTATAAAGCAGTGATAAAGCTTTTTCAGCCGTCAACCTTCTGGAGCTCATTTTTGGTGTGTTGAAATGACATGAAAACATGACAAGAGCAGGGGAGAGAAAGTTTCTTGCATACACACCTGCGTCAGAATGTATTTTCAGAGGCAATCAAAACAAAGTACATCAAAGAGAAATGTTTATTTTGGATCTGAACATGTTTTTACTTACATATAAGTATGTGGGTCAAAATGACCTGCAACATAATTTTATATACAAACATTGCAAAGACATTCCAGGACACATCAAAGTGTCCATAGTTTACACACCCGTTCATGATCCCAGATGAGGAAAAGTCATGAATTTTCATGAAGAAAATGAAAGGATGACCAGTACTTTGGTCAACGCACAAAGAAGAATGGGTCAAATTGACCCTTAACATAATAAGAAGGTAAACATTGTGATCCTCAAACTTCCGTCGATTCAATGAGAGTGTGACTGCACCGCTTCCACTTCCATTAATATTACACACGCAGTGTCTGTGTGGGTCTTAGAAGTGAGGTGTTGTGTTCATTTACTCTGTTCCCTTCTGTTCACAGTCTGTGTGCTGGAAACGCAACATTTGTTTTGCAATTTGGATCCATAAAACAAAACAAAGTGTGCAACAAAAAAGAGATAAACAAAAGAATATGGCCAGTTAATTTCCTGCTATTGAAGTTGATATCACTAAAAATGGGTACATATGAAAACCAAATAAGATTTTGAAATCAATAAATGGACTTATTTATTGATTGATTGATTGAAAGTGCCAACCATCACGCTAATGATTCTCAGTAGAGGTGAGCTGAAGCACCTTAAGATTCACTCTCACAAAATGCAGACTTTAAGAGCAAACTTGTTCAGGAAACACTAAAAA